ACTAACTAGCTTGGTGGATAGTTCTCGAGCAGAAAGAGTGCGAGCAAATACATATTAACTGAGGTTTACTTCATCTTCTTACGTCGATGTATCCATTCTTATAAACTCCTTGAAAGAGAAAAGCGCCAATAAAATCCAGAGCTTCTCCGGGCGCCAGCACGGCTTTGTATCAGGAGGGGCAACCCAATATATTGGGTACGACTATCCTGCGGCAATCCTATATAACAGTAGTATCAAAGTCAACAGGAATTATTTGCAAGGTTTGAGTACCTTGAGTACTCAAACCTTGCAAATAATAATAATAATTTTGGGCTCCTGAGTATAAAATTGTACACTACGTTTAGGTTAGAATGACTCACCTAATACTTAGAGTGAGTCATTATCATCTATTTGTACGACAATGGAAATTAGTCCTCTTATCGTATGGGTATGTACAGAAAATGCATGATTCATTCTCGTAAGAAGTAAACGCCATCTAAATTTATGGTCTTTAAGTTTTGAGCATTTCCAGGAAAACCATTCAGTACTTCTACGCGTTCCAGCAAATGGTCCAGGAATCCTGGGAGCATCGCTTCCGATCGAAGCGTAGCGACAAGTTTCCAGCCGGATCACCACCTGTCCTGCACTGTATTCCGTTTCGTCTACATACGCTTCAATATCTACTACTATCGGTATCCGGACCGTCCCACAACTTGACTAGAGTTGGGCGAAACGCTGAGAAATCAGAGCTGCAGCAGAAACATACCGGACTCTGAGAAGTCCGTGAATGTCGACGCACTGGCAGCTCGGGCAATAAAGGTAGTAACCGTAGTGCAGCATTCGCAGAGAATCTTGGCAAGCATGGGATACCCATCCGAGCTAGCAACGACTAAGTGTCAAACAATCGCTGAGAAGTTATGCGCTCTGAATTTAAAGGTTTCTGGAGAGAGGCGGAGATTCAGGACAATTCGGGACAGATGGCGAAGGGTGCTATTAAGGAAATTCCGAGCAATGAAGTACCAGATGACGACACACAATCAGCAACGTATCAGACATGTAGACTACCCCTATCTCATTAATCTAAACTAGTTGACAATCTGGTAAATTACAACTATATCATTAAAGTAGAGCTACCTCATTATTTTTTAATAAGTTAGCAATATGGTAGATTACCATAATGGCATTTAAGTAGAGCACCTCAGAAGGCTACCACTACATCAGTAACATAGAGCTGCTTATCCACCAGGCAAAATCTGGTAGATTACCACTATGTCATTAAGATAGGGATTGATAGAAAAGTAGAAGTACGTAGTTTTGAAATGTATTTATTCTTTATATTGATAGTGTTGCATTTATATAGAGAAAAAAA